CTTCCAAATATGGGCATCTGGAAGCCAAAATTTAGAATTGTTTTATTATCGATTTCATATTTTGTAAAACTTTAATGAATTTTTTATTAAGAAACTCAATGATTTCAAAGCGAGCAATGGCAACACTGTACGGAAAATAAAAGCATTTTTATCTCCAGCGCGCGAGACTGCGTATCAGAAATTCTAAAGTTTTGCTCATTTTAAAATTATTTTGCGATATTGCTGTTGAATTAAATTTTATGGTTTAAATGCAAAGAACATGATATTTAATAAATAAAGGTAACACACATAACGTTAAAGAAATGCCCTTTGAGCGTAATATAAAATCTGAAAGCTTTCAGATTTTTTTAAAAAAAATTAAACTCTTTTATGGATAAAATACATTTGCTAAACATGACGGTGTATAACAGTTTCAGTCGTACAGCTTTGAAATTTTGCATGTAAGAGCATGCAGTTTCGGAAAAAGAAATTCTTAATTTATATATAACTCATTACTGGAAGTAGAGAAAAAAATGACTCTTTTTGTTTCTTTGCAACCAAAATTATTAAAAAAGCATCTTCTCTTGATGAATTAATTTACCTAGAGGTGTTTCTTAGCCTTAAAATTCTTTCGGTTCTGCTTAATGATCCCAATTCTAACCTCTTTTTAGCAACAGCTTTTGAAGAATTCTTTTTTTATTAGCTTCTCTTTCACATTTCGGTTAACAAATGACGCTTGGACTTTCGTTTCCTAGAAGCCAGAACATTCTCGAAGTTTTCTCTGCGGGTTTTATGCATAAAGATGCTTCTTTTGCGCCACGAGGATGAAGTTCTAGTTAACCATTAAAACTGTAGTTCTGACACTTTCTTCACATTACACCGATTCTTCCTGCTAACCGTTCATTTTTTTAGCATTTTGAATATAATTGTACTTAAAAAGTTAATATAATTTAAAAAAAAAAACTGGATGGATTCAGATTTTAACGATCACCCAAAAGGGCTCTTTTAAAGTTTAATATGATATATCAACAGAGATTATCAATAGACATAATAAGATGGAGTAGCGAAATTTCAACATGCGTTTAGACTAACTTGCGAACGTTATGTATGTGTGTATTTTAAACGTTAAACCTTTTTAATGTAATTCTGTAAAAATATTATATGTTTTTAGTTAGATATATCATGAATTAAATGTATTTTTATTTAAATCAATCAGATTAAAATGTAAAAAGTAATATTTTTATAATATGTAACTATTGGTTTTAAATAGTTTAATTTGTTAATTAATAACAGGCAGAATAAATTTAAAGTAATAATAACTTATTTTTTTCCAAACAGCAACAGACTTAAATGAAAAGTGAAACAATGCAAAATCCTGTTTCGAGACTTTTGGGTTAAAACATAAAACTTCGTGACTTTATGTTTTTTGAGCTATTTGCTGTGTTATGTATAAAAAATTCACTGAAATACAAAACTTTAAAAGTTAAATGAAAATTGGATTACCTTTTATATTTTACAACTTTTTTCTTTTTCTTCAGGATTGTCACTGAAACGACGCAATGTATCGAAGAAACTTTGCAGAGTTGTGGAGAAAGACCTTTCGGGTTGCTGAAAGAAATTTTCGGGGATGTCATCAAGATTGGGATCAATGCTTACTGCCACCCAGCTTACAGAGACCAAGGTCTTTTCATGCGAAAGACCACTTCAGACGATGATGATGTTACAGCTCCTACTTCAGATTACACGGGATCAACCGTCTCTAAGCCTCATCCTAAATACGTGAAAGGATACCGACCAGACACAGCGAGTTCAATAACTGTTTCTTATGTTTGCTTCTTAGGATCCTTGTTGCTTTGTGCCTTATTTTCAAATATTAAGTTCTCAGTTTAATTCAACGTTAGATATGTGTTACATTCACTTGATGTTTTCATCATTTTTTTTTTTTTTACTGTATTTTAGAAAAAAGCTATGTAGGTGTCTTCCATTATGTCATACAATAAAAGTACTTTCTTTTTCTATTATTATGCTATGATGCGTTCAGTGCTATTATACTGTGTTAGCAAGATCAAAGGAGTTTTAAATTAAAAGCTTTATAGTTTTAAATTAAAAGCTTTCATAACTCACTTATGAGTCAAGAAAATATATAACGTATTTATTTTCTTTATTACTTCTAAAAAAATTACCAGATCATCATAGTATGAATGAATGCAGGAAAAACCAAAACCTAAAAAAATTGAGTTGAAACTAGTAATTTTGATTTTAAGAATTGTATAAACACATGTAACCAAACATCATTCACATCATAGTTGTCATAAATCTTTTTTTCTTGAATATGGAATTAAATATACATGTAAAAGTAATAAATTTTAATTGGAACTGATTTTTTTCTCTTTTTAGTATGTATCTTTGTACTCTAGTTAAACGTACGTCTGACTAGCAATCGGGAGGTCCAGAGTTCGATTCCTGGAGAGGGCATTGTTCATTTTCCACGTTTCCATGTCTTAAATAAGTCTCATCACTCTATAAAGTAATTAATATTGAGTTTAAAGATTATGCTTACAAATGAAATAAAGCTGAAAAAATTTATTCGATGCATGCATTCAGTGGCTTATGCCGTACGGAATGGTCCCTTAATTTGTTGCTTGGGGAGGTTCCTGAATTTGCTACCGCTCTTAATATACAAGCAAATAACTTCAAAAAAATATGAAAAATGACTTGCAGGGAAATAATTTTAAAATCTACGTTAATTTTTCAAGAGAATATTTAATTCGAATATTTTAAAATTATATTATTATTTTTATTATTAGTATTTCGTTTGGAAAACCATTGATGACGTTGTAGAGGTTTATCTGATGGCTCTTGCTGTTATGTAAAAAGTACAGAAAGATTCCTTAAATGCAAAACCTACTTTTATATATTCTAAATGTTTCTTAAACAATTTTTATTCAGAAAACTCTTCTCACAACTAGCAACACTTATAGCAATTGAGAGAAAAGTTCGAACTAGTATTACAATATTTAGAACTTTGTTCTAGAGTTCTAGAGTTTGTTCTAGAGAACTTTGTTCTAGAATTGTATTTTAGAATAAATTTAAAAAGAATAAAAGGACTGCCTTTCCACTTTCCTGTTTCGATTTCCCTAACAATGACGGAAATAAAACTGTAAAAGACTGCTTTTTTTAACGAAAAGTTTTCTTTATAAATGTCACTGTGATCATAATTTAGTTATATTCGTAATTTTAATTTGATAGTTCTGACGGAATAAGAAAGGTATAACAAAAGTATGTAGCTCATGAAATCACGCCGTGATTTCTTTCAGTACCTTGGCTAGGGTAAAAACTTTTATTTTCTCAGTTTAAATTTTTATGGCAATTTAGAACCTAATTATTCTTCACCTTCTTCGACGATCCACCTTACTGAACACTATAGAACAATGTTTTACGCGAAAACAGCCGCCCATAAAAATTTATAGCCCGGGGTGGACTGTGTTTCTCTTAGAAAAATTCACGAGAGCTTTTTGCCATACAAAGAAGTTATATTTTGTGGGTAATTTTCTAAGCAAATTTATTTGCAATTCATACTTGCATTATATACGCAGAAAGCATTTCTTACTAGATACTTTAAAACATGGTAGAGATTAAACATATTAGAGTTTTGGTTGTTGTCCTCCAGAATCATCGAATAAGGCAATATCAGGAATTTAAGTATTATGTACAATTAAGTATTGTGTAACTAAGGCACCAGCTTAAATAATATTTTTCTACCTTACTTTGCATGACGTGTGAAACTAAAATATCATTCTGGCAGTAAAGGAAATGAGAGAAAATAGAAAAGGTAAATATCTGAATCAAACTGGTTAGTTTAAAACTAAATAAGTCTCTACAAGCATCGTGAAATCTTTGGAACTGAAAGGGCATCTAATGAAACAAGAGTTTACAGTTTGATAAAGAAATCTGAGGACCCAAGCTCGAAGGCAGACATTAAATCACCCAGCTGGTATGTTGAAAGCCAGCTGGGTTGTGATCTATTGTGAATGACAACATTATTGGAAGTCCCGACAATTCCAAACTTAAAATCCTAGGAAGACTAGCCTGACATTATTTTTCATTCTTAAATCGCAACATTTGCCTGCTGTAAATATGTAAAAATATTTTCCATTGTCTAAAAATAAAGCATTTTATTGGGCATATTAAATCCAATGTTTTTATTGGGATACGATTAAAAAAATATACAAATTTTATATTTTGTGCGCTCATAGACAAATTTGAGAATAGATCTGATACATGTAGCGAATTAATTATGCTACTATGCTAAAAAAATTAATTAATTAAAATTTAAACATGCCATTAATATGCCTAATTTTTTGTTGCGCCAAATTTTTAATAAAATGCAATTATTATTCAGCTCATCTATTTTAATTGATGATCCATAGTATCCTACCATTCGGGTTATTCTATCAACTTTCAGTCCATTTTGTATCAGATGATTGAGAATCTGCTGTTATTCAATTCAGTTTACATAATGGTGTAATTAAACTTGTTTGACTAATTGGTAAACTTGTTTGACTAATCGGTATACTTTTATAAAACAGCACTTAACAGGGTTATTAGCAGCTCTGAGATAATATAATGCGAGATGAATTTTATTTGAAATAATGCTTAGTTTACTTTATTAACCTAAATTATGTTTTGAGAAAATGATTTTAAAATTCCCAAAGGCAGGGGGAACTTAATGCCACAACGTAATATTTCAAGGTGTATATTTTATCAATGAGGTAATAATTTACATTTAAGTACACAAAATATGTGAATTTTCGAAATGATATTTCTTCAAAAATACAGCAACTGTAGCAAGCAGATTTATAAAATATTTTATTTTTGATTCAAAAACGATGTTTTCCCACCTTGACCTGACGTGTTATGCTCCTTGAAGGTAAAAGGAAGTGAAATTTGCTTTTTGTAAGGAACTAGAAGTGTTACTTTGCTCTGCATTAAGGTTAAGATCAGTAGATAGATACTCAATTCTGTGAAAGTAGTTAAGAAATGGGAAATATTTCTTTTCTAATACTAAGAGTCTTACACATACATACATCAGCAGGAAGTCCTTTCTCCAAGCTTTTACTCATTTTTCAGCTTCCTTCCGTTTGACAGCTATCGTCATCACAAAGGTGGCAAATATGTTCACGAGATACCTAACATTAAAGGATCAAAGTTCTTTCATTTTAACCACCATTAAATATTCTTTATATGCTTTATAAAAGTAGTGTTCATTTAAATCAGAGAATAAGTGTAATTTTTGCTTCAAAATTGTACATTTCCTTTTTCACCCAGAATGCGACACATTTTTATTTACATGTGTTTCTTATTAGGTAAGTAATTTTATTTGTTGCTATACATTTGGCATGCTCATCTGAATTAACTGAAGCTATTTTATCAAGTTAGTTTAGTTATGATATTTCATTGACTTATGGTTTCGATAATGTCTTATGTTTCGATAATGTCGGGTGGCATAGGGTTGGGAACCCTATGCCACCCGAGCATCATTGCGCCCGCCGGTCGTTTAACGTGTGCCTGTCGCTGTGCGATCACAATAAAAATGTTTCAATAAAATTCTATGCGAATATTTTCTCATTTTGAATCAAATAGAAATTGCATCCAACACTGATAGTAGCACAAAGCGAAGTGTGACCGATCTCTTTTTTTATGTGCATGTATTATTAACTCTATCGAACTATAGATTACCTTTGAAAAAGCAAATAGTGCCCACGTTCAACAGGTATTCTACAATGTGCTCTTAGGGACAAAAAGGTTGGGAATCTCGGTCTAATTACTTTTACCGCACAGCAGGAATTCTGTTCTCTGTGAATCTTTCCTTCCTATTCTATATTTAATTTAAAAGTGTTCTAAGGAAATACAAAAAAGATCAGACTGTTACGTAAACATTTTATGTTAAATTAACTTGAAAAAATAAATCCTTAGAAAGCTGCAGAGATTTTAATACGTATGTGCATAATTGACTGAATTTTATTTGCTTTATTTAGTTATATTTTTAGAAAATGTATTTTTTAAATTAGTTTCCCCTTAAAGGCAGATTTTGAAGTTTGCATTAATTGAAAACTTTTGATATTAAGCAATTTCCTTTTCTTTATTCTTCTTATTTTATCCTTATGTAAATGAAGAGTTCGAGAAGTTGGAGACTTTGAAAGCGAATAAGTCTCAATAATATTTTAAGTTTCAAATTGAAGGAAATTTAGGATAAATCACATCTTTAGTTATATTTTTAGCTAACACTTCTACTGGATGGTAATAGAACTAATACTAAAATTTTGTTTAAAAAGTGAAAGGATTTCTCAAGTTAAAATTAGAAAGATACCAGTGACGAAAAATGCCCGATGATTCAAATTTTCGAATGACGAATTTTCAAGATTCATGAAATTTGAAGATTTGAATAATTTTTAAATAATAAATGCTTATGTTTCTGGTTTAAGACATGTTTTTATTAGTTCGACCAAGAATAACTGATAGTAAAACTTCTTACTCTAAATATCTTCAACAGAAGATAAGTTTTATACTTTTTTTTACTTCATGCTATAAAGAATAACTTATTAATTTAATTTTTTCCATCTATTTTATTAGTTATTCTTAAAATGGCGGAAGAAAACATATCTCACAAGGATTTAATCCTCATTGAGGGAACAGAAAAATGAAACATCTTTCCGTTTTGGTTTCTAATGTATTCCGTAAATAATATGTTATTTAAAATCAGGCAAGAAAGTAACATGAGTCTAGCGTAGATTTTGCACCAAATTTTAACGAGTTCAAGGGAGATCTGACACTCCTATTCTTCAAGAGCAAACGGCTTTTGAAAATATACATATTTTTTTCCTCTTGAGTCATTACTATGGAGTTGAAAAACAACTTAAAAACAGTGATTTTCAATTTTTTTACATCTAAAAATCAAGGTTTTGTTTGATCATTGTCAACCCACTCAATTAAATAAGTCACTATTATTACGAAATATATTCACCGCTACGAAGTACACTATAATTTATGATTCTTCATTCAAGTACACCTTATAATATTTTATCATCTTTCTGAAAACTCGTTTTTGTTATATCCTTTAGAACATCATCTTGGAACTTCTAAAACTCTGTCGCATCTCCTGAAACTGTAAACTGAACTTAATAAATTCCTATTACGCTTTATTCGAGGTGCCAATTCTCAGGACTGCTGTTTTAAAAGTTTTGAAAATGTTTTAGGCGAGTGGGAGATGAAGAAAGTCCAAAAAAACTCATAAAACTAACATTTTTCTAAACAGATATTTCAGTATATGTGCGGGTTCATCTTCGATTTTCACATAAATCTCCACTATCAAGAAAGTTCTAAAATAACTCATAAAGTTAACTATGAGGTTTCTAAAAAGTTTTTCTAAAAAGGTCTTTCAGTGTATGTGTGTATTTACAATTTTAGAACAAATTTCTATTATTTATAGAAAATTAAATTAATGGCTAACTTTTATCTTAGATTTCTTTGCGCAGAATTAAAAAAAAATTAAACGTAACTGTAGATTTTAGAATAGATTACTACAATTTTGCTTGTTAGCTAGATTTGTCTATGTATTATTTACACTCTCAGAGATTTTATTGTCATTGTGATCTTAATTTAATAATCTCCGAGCATACTCACGTTAAAATAATTAAAAACGTGGTACTATGCAATTTTTAATTACTATATTAATAATAAAAATTTTATGTATCAAGACGTTTTGAGTGAAAATTATCGTTTAATTTAAGCAGCATAGAGGTCTAACTTTTGGAGTGATTTTTCGTACATGCAAGATACATACTGCCTTAAAATTACTTAATGGGAATTTTATAAATACTATCACAAGTGGGAACGAAAATCACCAAGTAATAAACTGGATTAGTCATATTAGCAGAAAAGAGCTTGCTCTCAACGAAAACTTGCATCGTACTTCATATGGATGCCAATATGTTATTTCTGACTTCATAATAAATAACAAAACATTCAGGGTGAGATAATTAATTTTGTTAAGCTTTAATTTCCTCATTTTTTTATGCTGAAATACTTTTACATAAACCTGCCATCAAAGTATTGAAAGCAAAGTATGTACAAAATGAGTTTTAGGTAAACGAAAGAATTATCTGGCAACTGTCTGTTACGATATAATATCTCATGATTTATATAGGTTGCGAAGAAATTAAGCCCCCTTGACTTTATTAGACGGACGAATGAGTTATCACTCTGTGTAAAATATTATGACAAAGTTCTAAGAAGGTTGTAAATAACCTTTTCTTTACTAAATAATTAAATGAACAAAAAGCGCAACTAGAGTGTACAAATAAGCCGGGGATTCACTAGCTAATGATATAACCTAAACTTTAAGGGATGCTGCCACAAGCTCTATATCTAAAACTTTCAAAACCCTGAACTTCAAGACTCTGCAGTTAATTTGCATTCTGGTAAGGCTATTGAAAGCAGAAGTTGTAATAAAACTTTAAAAGAGAATAACTGGTTAATTAACATAAAATACTCTGCAAATACCTTTGCAATAGAATATTATATATTTGCACGGACGGGCTATTCATGTTCTTAATAAAGCCACAAATTACACACACACACACACACATATATATATATATATATATATATGTACAATTAGTGAAATTATTACTTCACTGATTGGTTTAGGTTTAGTTGATTATGGAAAAGCACACTAGGGCTAGCTGCTTAGGGGAGGAATGCCTTCGTGGAAGACAGTCTAGAGGAAACTGGCTCGTATACACATTACACACGGAAAAAACCACGAAACCGGCCCATGCAGTCAGCCCGATCGCCGGGGTATCGAATCCAGTTGGAACTGCCGGTGTTCAGTAATTTAGCGCTCGGCCGCTGGTGGGCCCTCAGTGATTGAACATAGTGCAAAAATTTGCTGCCTGAAAATGATAAACAGTCTAAAATAATGCGGTCGTTTAATGATGTGGATACATTTTTATGGGTAGGTACCGCGCTATTAAATACAATCATGAGAAAATTAAAAAATAGAGGATAAATCCAAACATGAAGTTGTATTTACATTTTGAAAGTTGTCAACAATATTAAATGAAAATTAAACGAAATTGAATAATGAATAAATAATATTAAATAAAGATTAAACAAAGGTGAGTCAATTATTTTATTTTACAATGTAACTCAAACTTTGGGTAACAATCAGCAATAATGTTCACAAAATAAATCAACTCAAACAGTGCCCTGTTCACCTGTTCCGAATAAAAGCATTGTTAAACATTGTATGTATTAATATACACATTAACAAATATTAATCAGCTGAGTGAGTCCATGCTACAAATATTTTTTCTCTCTCCCTTTTCTATTATAAAATGATTCTTTTAGCGAAACCGCTCGCAATAAAGCTTGAACACATTTGGAGGAAAAACCCAAATCTTATAGAAGTTACTTAATCCGTGCAAATATATAATATGAAATTTATAGCAAAAATCATATTTTCTCATCTTGGAATGTTACATGGAATTAAGTTCAATTTTTATTTCTTTGTGATTAATGAGAATTCAGTATTCAAGAAATTTAAATTTTTTAAATAATCGTAATAAAAAGGTTTTGTTACTGCTAATTATTATATAATATTATAAAGTTTTGTTGAACATTAAATTTTCATTCATTCTTAACCCCCTCTCTACCTGCGAAACTGGGAATTTCTTTTCACCGAGAATTCCGAGTCCTAAAGCTAAAAATAGGTTTATGCTAAATTACATTGACAGAATTTAGTTAACTACATTTAATTTATAAGAAAGAATTGGTATTTTACATTCGCATTTACGTAAAATTAGCAATTTACACGAATATTTTCTTAGCGCAGTTAAAACCGCAGTGTAAGTATATTCTTTCATTTCGAAATGAAAATAATTAGAAAGCAAAGTTCTTTCAAATTCACTGATGCTCATGTTCGATGCCACTTTCTTCAACAGCTTATTACTCCCCCCTCCCAAGGTTAATTTTCTTACAGAAATTCGATTTACAGGAAGAGATGCCGTGCGTTGTAGGGATTATTTCAAAAACAACGTGGACCTTCAAATGAGAGATTTCCCTGGTATGTAGAATGAAAAGGTAGACATCCTCGGAATCAGAGCCATGTTTACTCATATTAAACCCGAGGAAAATCTCAAACTTGCATCCTCTAATTATCTTTTTATTACTTTGTAATGTTTTATTATGTTAAATTAACCAGTCATTATGATTTAGACACTTACTTTCACTTCTACTTTCCTGTTTCCCTGCCAGAATGCAAATTAGCTCGGGTATATTTAAACTGAGGTTTTTAAGATTGCAAGATAGAGTGTGTTTTGCCTCTCGAGGCCATGTTACCTAGTTGCTGTAGGTGTCTGGCGAAAACGTCGCGGTGCAAAACATCGTGGGAGAAAAGAAAGCATCGCAGTTCTAAAACATCGTGGTACATAATATCCTCATCGAAAATAAAAACTTCGCAGCAACTAAAGACATCATTTAAAATATAGTGGTAAAAAATAAAGTAGCTACAAATCATCGCGTGACGATAACATCGCACACATGCGTTTTTCATGTTTTAAAAGTTATAAATGCATTTTCGCATGCTTTTGGGACGGCAAGAAGGAAAGAGGGATATTTTTACTTTTATATTTCATGTTTTGAATGAACTAATTAATTTTTATTGAAAAAGTAAGAAGGAAATTAAGCATTTAAAAATTGAAAATGAGTAGAAATTTAATGCAATTTACAGCACTTAATAGAATTTTAAATTTACATAGTTAATTTACAAAAGTCATTATTAAATTAATCTTTTTTATGAAGTTTTACTCATAATTTTTCATGAAAAATACAGCCTAAAAGTATTTAAAAAAAAGAAGATAAATAAATGCATGAGGTTAACTCTATAAAACTTGCTTAGTTAATTATCAAATTACTTTATTTCACGTTTGTTAATCTGATATTGTTTTGGTGAAAATTATATATTGTTTTGTTTCTCTTTATTCTTAAACTGTCGTTAACATTTCTTGCGCTTCCAAATCTTTATGTGAATATGCATTTACAACTTTTAAAATCTGAAAAACGCATGTTTTCGATGTTATTGTCATGCGATGATTTGTAGGTGCTTTATTTTTTACCACGATATTTTCTACGACGATGTTTTCAAACTGTGAAGTTTTTGAACCGCTTTATTTTCAAAGACAATATTTTGTGCTATGCATTTTTAGAACTGCGATGTTATCTCTTTGCTTTCTTTTCTCCCACGATGTTTTGTACCGCGACGTTTTCGCCTTGTGTTGTTTTCTCTGCGGCTGTAACCGTTGCTGTTAGCTCAGGTGAGATTTGTAGTCTTCACCTTTGCATTATAATTACCAATATTTGGATATCTATGCCGATTAGGTTTGTGAAACAACTTCTCGTTAATTTGATTTATGTAGCCTTCGGCTACTAGCTTACTTGAATTTAAATTTTCCATTTCATTATTACTTTAACCACAAGATATTAGCTGAGATATAAGGACCATGTCTACCTTCTTGTTATTTTAGACTTCGCAGTCTATCTAAGTTTGCTTAAAATCTATGATAGCTAAAAGAAATTAAAATTTATAGCATTCATTTCAATAATTTATTAATATTCTAGTTTTGTGTCCTCTTTTTGTTGTAAATTAATTAAGTATTTGAGAATAAATAAATAAAATGGTTTTTCTAACTAACTTCTAGCAACCCTTAAAAATGCGAAGACACACGGGCGTCAAACACGTCAACTATGTTAATCACGTGATATATCCCATCATCCTCTTGTTCTATAGTTCTTATTAAGCTTCTGCATGTGCTTGTATTAACATTAATGTATCTATCGCTTATATTATTTTAGTTGCAGTTTAATAAATATGTTATTAGTGTTTAAATCTGCATCGTATTATTTATGGATAAATCCCTCATATCATCATCAACAATAGTTTCGGAGACTCAACTCCTGCTACTGAGTGCACAAAAGGTAAGCTGTTTTTGCTATCTTTATTCTTCACTTTTATCCGCTTAGTTGACCTAAGTGTCTCATTCCCCCAACCTCGTCATGGGTCTTTTAGCAATTCAAGATATAGAACAGATATTCTAAATGAAGAATGGTTCTGAACAAACATTTCGATGTCTAACACTGCATCGTTAGCAACTGTGTAGAGATACTAGGAATTTTTGACGCAGTTGTTTTGAAAAATTGACTGTGTTCTTGCCGGGAAATGAGCTTGCATATTTAAACGGCTTGAATGATATAATGACGAATACATCGTAATAGCTGGTAGAAGAAATGTCTTTATTTCCTTATAATTGTTACACTTATTAACAATATCTGGAGCTATAACTGAATTAAAAACTTTTCAAAGCTGCCAATTTCTCTAAATTTTGTTGATGAGATGTGCAGTATTTCACTTTCCAGTCTCTTGTTAATGCAGAATACTGTTATAGGTATATATGCTAAGAAAGGTCCAGACTTATGTGATAAATATCAGAGATGTCTTGAAGAACTGAAAGCGTTCACACAGGTTGACGTATTCTACATTTACAATTCACTAGAAGAATCTCTGGAAGCATGTAGGTAAGTTTATATATGGGTAATAGGTCAAATGGACGATATTTGAATAATTACATCTTTCTTTCTTTTCTCTTTTTTTTTTTTTTTTTTGAGGATATAACTTTTTTTTCTTAATGGTAGGATCATTATGCTTTCGTGCAAGAGAATTTTGAAAATTTCATACACAATTATTGAACATTTATTACCATATTAAATTTTCTGCAGTGAAATATTTAACATAATTAATGACTTACAACTTATAAGGGCTGTTAATGTTTTTAACGAACTAGCTATTTGCGTGGCTAGCCCTCTAAAATAGTTATTGTAAAAAAGAAACAAAATTATATGATTTTAATGAATTCAGCTAATGTAACTTCACTGGTACAGATAGTAGTTAATAATCATTGAAACTAGCTTTATTGCATTTAAATCACTTGTTAACTAATAGCAGAAAAAATTTTAGAGGAAAAACAAATATTATTTTAATGCTTTGGTGCACGACACACAATCGCGTGGAAGATAATATCTTAATTTGGCAATAGCAATACATTTCTTTTAAATCACTCAGTTTATTTATTAAATTCAAAAGACAAATATATTGCATTTTGACAAACGGCAACACACTTCTCTTATGTGGATGATTTTTCTGTATCAGAAAATAATGCAGAAAGTTTATAATCTCGATCGCAGACACTTAGCCGACAACCACTTAGCCGACAGGACACTTAACCGACACCAGTTAACCGACAGAACATTTAGCCGACACGGACACTTAGCCGACGTGGACACTTAGCCGACAGGACATTTAGCTGACAGGGACAGTTAGCCGACAGGACAGTTAGCCGACAGGACATTTAGACGACAAGGACACTTAGCCGACAGGATACTTAGCGGACATGGGCAGTTAACCGACAGGACATTTAGCCGACAATGAGTCTTGCTCTTCTCAATGCTTTCAGGTTTGTAACACTTTTTCATTTCATTCCTACTTTGCTCAACAGATCATGTTATATTCATTTATATTCATTTTCGTATAACGTCGTTTCGCTTCTTCCTACTAATGAAATTTTCTTTCCCAGTCAGAAACCAGTGTGATTCGTTCTACTCCTCGCCGCACTGGAAATACTTTTTTTTTTTTTTCTGAAATGCTATTTACACCTCAGAATGCTATTTACACGTTGACCATCGTATATTTATTAATCTGAGATAGGGTTCCAGTCCAGGAATTCGTGCCTCTGCGACTACCTAACAGAAGTAGGTTGGGTTTTGTTTGGTTTACGGCAAAGCCAAAGGGCTATCTGCGTAAGGAGAGGGATACCTTCGTGGAGGATGTTCTAAGGAAAACTGGCTTGTGTACAAGTTACCCATGGGGAAAACCATGAAGACACCCACGCAGCCAGTCTGTTCGCTCAATTCGAAATTCGGACCGAGCTACCAGTGCTCGGCGACTTACCGCTCGGCCGCTGCTGGGCCTAACAGAAAAAGAGTGATCATTTTACTTAATATATAACCAGACTCTTCCAGTGAAAACTGCTTTTTTAGGCTAGACCTTTATAAATGCTTTGCTAGAAAATCAGAAGAATGTTTCAAATTTGAATACCGAAGTATTGTTCAGAATTGTTCAGCTGTTTCAGTATGGAGAAGAGTGTTAAGTAAAAATGTTTACAAAGACAAGTTCAGTGCCGATTATAACTGATGTATCGCACTAGCTTGACGTTATCAGTTTTGTTGAAATACAGCCATAACCATCATATGATTATATGGCATATCGGTAAAAGCTGGATTCAGAAAGACGGAAACGATGCAAGAGGTGGCCAAAAACAGCTCACTTTACCGTGACATTATATGAGTTGTTTATTTTTATCTAAAGAATGGTGGCATGAACTGCCGATTATAGAGATCACAAATAATTTAAAGCTTCGCTTGTCATAAAATTCTCTTTTTCAACTTTTTTTAATAACAAAATAATATAATTTGCTAAACTAACCGTTCACCACCAATGTTTCTATAAAACGTATAGAGCAATAATAATAATAATTCAAGAATAACAATACTTTTTATTGCATTATTCAGATTTTTCATGGTAGGGAAAGGAAATTTCAGTAGTGGGAGAAGCGAAACAATTTTATAAAGGAAGGAATGTACCATGATGTGTTGAGTAAAATAGTAATGAAACGTAAAGGTATTAGAAATTTAAAAACATTAGGATGCGCGAGACTGGAAAATGAACATCATTAAGTACACAAGAAAAATTATTAATGATACGAAAGTGTTGAAAGGAACCCAGCTGATTAAATGAAGAAGCTTTATGGACAATGTTTGCTTAGGAACATGGCAATTCACCGCGAACTTCCTAAAATTCAGCTGTACAATGCTATTCCTAAAATTCAGCTGTACAATGCTGAAAATTGCTGAAAAATTCTTTATGAAAATCCCATAAGTGCAAAACAACACAATTCTTGTATTGAATTATGACTATGAAAGTAAAAAAAAAATGGCGAAAGGCCGCTTGTGGTACTACGTCACCTGAATTAATTTTTGTTTTGATCAGTCTTGCTATTGTTGTTATGTAGTATTTATTTCTGTTCATGTTCATCTTGTCTTTTTGCTACGCATTATAATTTTATATGCATTTTAATTGTTATGTATCAATATTGTACACTCACATTGATCATCCAGAAACTGTTTTTGGCTAATAAGGCATTTCTTTTACTATCAATAATAGCTATTCTATCCTTAATTGCTATGCAACAACAGCTATGTTTTTGCGCACTTACGTTTCTACTTCAAGAGCTGACAGCTTCAGGTGCTACTCTCGATCGGACTCTTTATATGTTTTCGTTGTTTATCAAACTTTGCTCCCCGCGCTGTATATTTCATTATGAACTGTGACTTTGTGTTCATTCCTCTAAAGAATTATTCGGAACTCACACAGAATCGATCATGTCACCTCTCATATTTGCCTAAGGCGACAATTTTTGCAGATCCCATATTCAAATGTAACTAAATGACCGTCGCATTTAGCAAAAAAAATTCTTTTTTTCCATTCGAAAATTAATTTATATTCCCTGACTAGAAATTTCAACGCTTTTTCAATTTGACCAATATATACCAAACAGCATGATATATATGAAACTATGCTAAATCACATAAGATATTAAAGCATATATGGGATCTTTAAGAATCGGAAAATTAACTTTACTGATAGGTGAAAAAGACTTGAATATTGAACTTATGGAGAAGTCGAGAAATTTTGTAATTGATAGCAAGTTTAAATACTTATTGAGTACATGTCAGCTAAACGCCACTGTCCGCTTAATGCCCTGTTGACTAAATGTCTTGACAGTTAAATGTCCCGTATCTAAATAAACTGACGGCTAACTCTCTGTGCCGGCTAAATGTCCTGCCGGCTAACTGTCCGTGTCGCTAAATTACCTGTCGGCTAACTGGTGTTGGTTAAGTGTCTTGTCGGCTATGTGTCACGGACCCTTATAATCTATATATAAGCGAAATACCACTGACTCATCACGAGATCTCCGAAACTATACACCCGATTGACTTGAAATTTTGCATAGTTACTCATTTCACGATAGAGACGCACACTAAGAATGGGTTTTACGTAAATCCTGTCCAAAATAGATTTTTGTTATACAATAGAAGTTTCTCATACATTTGGTTTTCAAATCCAAGATCAAGATTTTCTTTTATATTGTTGCCAAAATTAGATATGAAATACAATGTTGCCAATGAATGCATTTTCCTGTAAAATTATTAAATTGGTAAATAACTTGCATCTATCCAATGAATACAAACAGCATTTAAATGATAAGATTAATAATAGCATTTATATTTAACTGTTCTCATAAGTTTCATGAAAATAAATATTATTGAGAGAAACAAATTATTGTGATGAAAAGTAAAAATGTTGTTGGTGTTTATAAAAATTACCATACATAAAAAATCAAGAACAAATAATTATAATTTTAGAAAATGTGATAACAAAGATAATAGCATTTATTTTCAGGAAACTTATAACAACAGTTAAATATATATAAACCTTAGTTTTATGCTGGCAATTTTTAGTGGTGTAGATCTACTGGGGATCCCGCCACGTTAAATAATGGGGACGCATCCCAATATACAGTACCTCATGGGCGATGTGGAAACCTGTATATGACAGATTCATGGACAGGCATTATACTTCCCGACTCTAAAATTAAAAAAAAATTACATTAATTATCAATTCGAAATTAGACAGTTCGTCCATATAAAGTCTAGGTTCACATTCAAATAGATAGTGTGCCAGCAAAGCGGGCAGCTATCAACTAGTATAATATAACAACAGAATAAACATTTTCTCTTTTATTTAGGAAAGAAAACTTTCTTTTATTAAATTTAATATGTTTATAGATCTGTTTATTAATTTTTTAGCGCAGCAAAGGATGCATATTTATGTGTAGCATCTGCTCCTAAGAAGTGCAAAAAGTCTTATGACAAGGAAGACGTCAGGCTGAGTCCTGTATTTAAGGGAAGTTTGTATTTGCTTCGAGATTTTTGCGGATTCCGTTCCAGAAGAAGACCTTGCTGCGCCTTAAGGACGAGTGAGTAAGCCTCTATAACTGTTCAATAAAAGTACAAACTAACGCATATATTTTAAATATGAGAATTAGTTTTAAGTGTAAAGGATTTTTTATTAGAGGAAAGTTCAAAAGGAAGTACATATCTGAATGCAGAACATTAATAATAACAAATACATGATTTTTATTAAAGTGCAAATACAGAGTAACTCTTTAAAATTTTCAATGCAGAGAACGTTTAATAGGATTGTCGCAGTTATTTTGAAGGCCTTCTATCAGAAATTAATCAACTATCAATCTTGGTGATTATTATAAGGTGCAATCTCAGTAATGGTGCCAGAAAATTTGAAATGCATATCTTGAATATTGGTTGTTTCTGGTATATAAAGTGCTTATCATTTAATTTAATGAAGGCAGCATGCAAAATGTATATTAGTATATAATAAATGTATATTAGCTTATCATTTAATTTAATGAAGGCAGTATGCAAATTTACATGAAAAATACTATATGCTTGTAAATGATAAACATTCCAGCGCAAGCGCACAAAGCAGGTAAGAGCAACGCTGTATATATTGCGTATATATGGGAAGACTAAACAGCGGATTTCTCATTCGGAAATCACATTTGAAAATTGTCTGTTTGTGAAAAGGTCGTGTTATGTTTTGTGTAAGAAGAAGAATCTTCTACCAGCACGTGTTGGAATTTGACAGCGGCTGGTTCGGGATCTATCAGGACTGCGGTTTATCGTTCCGAGTGTTATTAGTCGTGGTCACATGATTATCAGGCGCATATGAAAGCGATGAGTCCAAAAGGGTTCTGCTGTCCCGAACCACTTATGCCCAAGAAGGCAAACATGATGTTCTCTCTGCCTTGCGGGATCATACAACTTCGTCATGCAAACCTGAGTCAAGAACCAAGTTCGCGCGCAAAACAAGAATTCGCGCGGATAGTGCGACGACGTCTGCAGAATCACTGACTGTGATCATGCGACTGTTGTTGCGGCATTTTTTGACGCTACAGCAGGGACAGGAGCGCCTAGAGTGGTGAAACGAACGCCAATACTGGACACATGAGGGGCAAAACGGGGATAGCGGCCGTTACATTTCTGATGTGCTGAGGCCTGCAGTTATGCCCTATCTTCGAGGCTGCGTGACGCCACCTTTCAACAAGATGATGTAAAACTGCATATTTCCCATGCTGTTCTGATCTTCCTCGATACAGAGGTTCGACTGCTATTTTGGCCAGCACGTTCTCCAGAACCTCTGGAGAACATTTAGCCATGGGTTGCAGAGAAACTTGCACATCACTACTCGCTAGCCGCTACAGCTGAAAAACTCTGGCATAGAGTTGACAACCCATGGAAAAAAAATACCCGTATCTTTCATCCGAGCTTAGTTCGGCTCCATGCCCAACAGGATTATACCGTTGTTTCTGCCACAGGCAGCAACTCTGTGCAATGAATTCTGCTCGCTGTGTACCCCAAACCATTTTTTAATTTAATAACGTCTTCTTCCCTTTATATTATATATGTATAATAAATAAGATTTTGCTGTTTGATATCCTCTCTGATGTAGCAAATTAAACGAAAAACACTATGTATGTTACCGGCAAGGCATGGAAAGCAGGAATTGTGCAAAACATTCACGTATTCTATACGATACTTACTTGTAATATCAGTAGGGATCTACTTATTACAAGAAAAATTAGACTGATATCTTTAATTGTATTTTATTGCTTTTTCTGCATAAATGCACTTCATACTTTTGCAGAACTGGATATTTTCCTGTTGAGATAAATGCAAAATTCGTCTACCTCATCACATGACAGTAAGTATCATTGAATGAAATGTTTTGTACTTTGGCCAGTTTGCCTCTAACATTGCACAGGATACTCGGATATATATGAAATGTTAGGTTTCATAATTTGGTATTTTGTTTCAGCCTTCTACATATTTTCTAAGCATTCTACGCAATGAAGGTCTTCTCTGAAGGTTGCATGTACATTCGATCTTTGGCAAAGTCCTTTAAAGGAAAGATTTTAACTGTTAAAGTTTCAAACAATCTCCAGTAAAAAATGCACTACTTAGTCTGCACTAACTGTAGTAAACTTTTACAGTTAGTCACCTCTTTACTATAAAAGATCTGATGAGCTCCATTATATACTATGGCATTCATTCAGCTTCTGTACTCTTTCTGAATTATTTGCTTCTTTTGGAAATTATGTACTCCCTTTTGTAACAGCTATTACTTGCAGTCTGATGTAAGCAGTCACCGTAATTATATCAAGAAGAATGTGCTATCACTTGCTAGGCTTGTGTATTATAATGCATTCGTTTATATATTCAAAAAAGAATTAATTTTGGAAAGAGAGGGTCATGATATAACGGTGGAGGGATGGTGCCCACGTCCTCCGTTACTACTACAACTACCACCTACTATCCGTTGGGGTTAACTAATAGTAAGTTTTTATGGAAAGGGGGTTTAGCTCGTTCAATAGTCATGAAACCAGTTTTTCTTCAACCGTCTCTTTTTAAACAAAGCTTACTAAGTCCTATTCTCACAAATGCTGCAACTGACGGCCATTTTCATATTCAACGATTTGGGGTGATGAACCCATTTTATGAACCTCTTGTTGAATGTAAATAATATGTAGTACATACGCTCTGTAACTCTAAGCATTTTTCTGGAACAAGAAGAGAAATACATATGTAAATTTCTCTGCAAAATTAAAACATACTGTACTTCTAACGTGCATTTATAAGAGAGATTCACAACTTCATAACTACTTAATAAAATTTCTTGTACCTTAGACTAACATGCAAAAAATGTTTATCTGGGTTTAATTTTTTTTACAATTTAATTTCTCATTATTATTCTAAACTCTGATATTTTTATGGAAATTTGTAAACAGTATTTCATATGTCTGCATAATAAAGATTGTATAAATTAATACAATTTCAAGACTTTGCCTTAAAGCTGAGGAAAAGTTTGTTAATTTATAAATATTTTCATTTTCACGATAAAACATAAATCTAATAGTATTATAACTTCAATGCATGTGTATACAGTATCGAAGAATGGTTGAGGGAGAGGTATTAAGAGATTTTCCATTATTAGAAACTTACTACTGTTAGCAGCTTCGTGCGTTTTCCCAAAATATGAGAAATTAAAACATTAAACTGTGAATTATTTTCCTTACACAGGTTACCTGGAACATAAAAGCTGTTACAAACGTGTACGGAAGCAACTGAATGAGTGCAACGACAAATACAGAACGTCTTTGGAGCTGATTATGGGAATGCAGCACTTACAGGAGCAAAAGGAAGAAAGATACTGGTAAAAATTCTAAAACTAAACTATTAAAAGCTCAGAAGCGAGCAAATGATGATTAATGTGATTGTAGATTGATATTAATAGATATAGCAGGAAAACTGCTTTTTGTAGTGGAATAAAACTGTCAGTGGTAATAGTTCCTAATGAAATAAATTCTGACAAGCAAATGATTTTTTGGCATAAATTGTCTTTCAGTTATTTGAAATTTCGGATAAATACATTTTTAATGAGACACTGTTTTTCACGAAAGAATATTCTGCTCGCCAATGAATTTTATTTGAAAAGTTAACCAGTAACTTGAAAAATAAAGCCCAAACAGTAAAAGTAAATTTTGCTCCTATTTAACTTCTTATTATTCCAAAGAAGCTTTGTTCTTAAAGTTTGTTTGCGATTTATTATTGTTTTATTGTTTTAGTTATTATTATTGTTTTAGTTTTGCGATTTTGCGTTGGTTCACTATAAATGTCCGTTTCACTTTTCAATCTGTTGCCACCAAATGCTAGAATCCTGCATTATATTTGAAGAAATTAAATAATGAAAAATCTGCATAAATGCATGTCTATTTCTCGCATTGTGGTAAAACAACGGTACTTAGAGCCATCGAATTTTGAACGACGTAATCCTACTGCGAATGTGGGCATGTGGAAGCCCAAATTTGAAATTTGTTTTATTATAGATTTCATATTTTTAACACTTTTACGAATTTTTGATTAACAAACTCAAGGATTTCAAAGCGAGCAATGTTGTACAGAAAAAAACATTTTTATCTCCAGCGTGCGAGACTGTGCGAAGAACGTGATATTTAATAAATAAAGGTAACAGACAAAATACTAAAAAACGTCCATTTGTACGTAATTTAAAATCTGAAAGCTTTCAGATTTTTATCTCTGTTTATAGTTTCCTTCTTACATTACTTGCTGATTAATTTACCCTAATGGTACTTTTACTAACTTGAAAAATCAGCTCAGTCAGTAAAAGTAAATTTTGCTCATATAAAATATCTTATAGTTACCGACTTGCATTATTTGCTGATTAATCTACCTTAATAATCTATTATTTAATGTTATATAATCGCAATGGTTACTTACCACTTCATAACTGGATTAAGTGTAGTAAACCTAAGTGAACAATCAAAATGGAGTTTTATTACAGCTTATGGATTACAGATTTAACAGATTTACGGTAACTTTGTAGAAACTTATTAACAGCTCTTGTTAGAGCATTGCTTGGCAAAAAATTCAACACATTGAATCAGCTTAAATCAGCTCGATTCGGATAATTTATGTGAAACGCAGATACATTCCTTCTTATTCCTCTGTAAATTCTGAAATTACCGCTTACTATTCTTATCTCTGAGTAGTCAGTGAAGCTGGAATAGTGTGACTGCAGCGAAAAGAGAGCCTCAAAAATTAATACAATGAATCTATAAGAGCTATAAAAAGTTAAAGTGAATCCTTTCTTATACACTTCTTCGTTTGTGCTACTTCGTTTTACAGTATTTATAATATTAAAGACCATTCGCACATTTGAAATCAGAGTGAAGCTAAAAATGACTATTTATTTTAGTTATAAATCTTGAGTTCCTCTATAGAGTTTGTTCACATCTGTACTTAGAGGTTCTGGCGATGGAAATTATTGCGAATCAGATTTCTGTTTAATATCTCTCCGAACAGTCTCAGCACACTGGATGACTATTCTCCTTTTCCTATCATTAGTGCTGGGAATCGAGCTGAGGCTGGCATGGGAACCAGGGGTTAATTATATGTCCTTAAAATGGGACCCTTTAAAATGGAGGCCTTAAAATGGGGCTCTTTAAAATGCGACCTGCTCTTCCCGCTTTCATAAGGAGTAGAGTTTAAAAGGTTTTGATAGTTGTCATAAGTGACAAGAGTGAGTAAACACATATTTAAACTTACCATCAGGTGAGTTGGACAGTTTTCTTACAGTCTCAATGATTGTTCCACTCATTATATTAATACTCAGCTAAGCTGTGTACTGTTCTGATGCTTCCTCGTAGAGGTTTGCGTGTCAACGGAGATCGTCATGACTACGGCGTTATCAACAAAGATGCAAATTTTAGTTGCAATGTTAATGGAAGGCCGGTCATTGCTAAATGCAATGGACAGGAAGTCTCAACATTAATATTCAAGACATTTCAAACATTAGAATGTTTGAGAAAGCGTATCGTCAGTCTTAATTTTATTCAGTCACATATAACAACAATAATAATTAATTTTCTTAATGGTATGAGAAATAAAGTAACTAATCATAGTAATATTTTTACAATGATAAAACAGAAGGATATATGACTTCACTTCGTTACGAAATGCTTTACTTATACAGTTCAAGTACTTTAACGGTAATTTTTTTAAACATTACCTAAATTGAGTAAGTATCAGAAAGTTATTTTTGCCTAATCGTGCAGACGATTGAGCACAATATAATTTCGCAGCATTTATAGGTCGGACACTTTTCTAACCAAAGAATAAATGAAAACATTTAAATTTAATTCAAAAATATTTTCACACTTTGAGACTTTTTTCCCTAAAATTATATTTACCCAAGTAACTTTTAAATTTTTTAATGTTTTCAAGACATAAATAAATAAATAAATAAATGATTTATCTCTTTGGTACTCATACTGTAAATTTTATCTGCAAGTTCTGAATTGCAATTCGAAAATCAGTCCAAAATAGGAAACGATTTTCTGAGAATTAATTGCATTCTAATCCGTATATTTAGCATAGAAAGCTAATTAAAGGATTCAATTGCACAAAAAGGAAACGGAAACTCACCTTGCTTGGAGTTCCCGTTGGCATTACGATTTCATTAAAAAATTAAGAAATATCAGATGCGTGTTCGTGTAACAAATACGGAAATTTATAGTATCCTTAGTAAACTCGATTAATTATATATTAGCTAAATCAGGTGAGCTTTAAAATTTCTCATGAACGAAATGAAATGTATACCCCAAGCAAAGAACTGTAAAATTATTAACTATTCTTAATTGTTGATCTCCTGACCTTACATTCAAATCTCCTTTTACCGAAAGCATTTAGAAAGCGGTTTAATAGTGATTACATATTCTTGAAATATTCGCATATGCACAAAAAACAAGACCGTAAATTATTTGAGTGACCGTAACCGCAACGATTAAAGGCAATAAATTATTAGTCCAAAGGGATTTGAATCCCGAAGGACTATTAGTTTCGTTTTGGCATTTTGCGTCGGACTCATAAATGTCGGTTCACTTTTCAAACTGTTGCCACAAACTGTTAGAGTACTGCATTATATTTGAAGAAATTAAATAATGAAAAATCTGCATAAATGTATGTATATTTCTCGTATTGTGATAAAACAACGGTACATAGAGTCATCGAATTTTGAATAACGTAATCCTCCAACGAATATGAGCATGTGGAATACCAATTTGAAATTTGTTTTATGATCGATTTCCTATTTTTTAAAACTTTGACGAATTTTTGATTAACAAACTCAAGGATTTCAAAGCGAGCAATGGCAACGTTGTCCAGAAAAAACATTTTTATCTCCAGCGCGTGAGTCTCTGTATCGGAAATTCTAAAGATATGCTCGTTTTAAAACTATTTTGCGATATTGCTGTTGCACTGGATCTTATGGTTTAAGTGCGAGGAACATGATATTTAATAAAGAAAGGTAACACACAAAATGTAAAAAACGCCCCTTTGGACGTAATTTAAAATCTGAAACATTTCAGATTTTGTTTTTATTAAACGATTTAAACTGAAATCGTTAGTAACCTCTGGCACTAAAACATCTTAATTTTCTCTCATATTTTTCTTATTTCCATTGTAACATCCTTTTACGAAGTAAAAGAAGCATTGCAGCCGCGAAAAATTCCGGGTATCCTATTTCAACGGAAATATCCACCTGGTCGATTTTTTTAAGTGAAATCTATATGTACAGATGGAATAAAAGGCTTTTTTTGCCAAAAGGATTGTAAAATGGATTCAAAAAGGAATGTTTCGCGATGTGTATATATGTATTTTGCATACTTGAAAAGCTATTAGCCGTACGTTGTAATTTTATATGTGCAAGCATTATACCACCTAGTTGTACCCCTCTCTTTTTAACGAAAATTTGGAATACCAAACTGTTGTATCATAAATTATAATACGACGTTTAGCTTAAGAGAGCTTCTCCTGACGCATGCGCAGTTCGTGTTTATCCGCGCGGAGATGATGACGTAACTGTTTATTACTTATGTATGTATATGTATATCATTCTTACATCTTCGCCCTTTTTCTCTGCTGTATGCAACTATGTTTAAGTTAATCTCTGTTATTAAAAATGTTCATTGATATTACAATCTATTTAGGCTCATTTATTTCTTCAATGGTTATGGGCCCAGGAACGTTTCAACTGTGCCTAATTAGCAAAATACTTATTTTAAAATGAACAATTTGAAGTTTTTGAGCATTGAACTCTTAAGCCTAATTCAGTGCAAGAACTGTTACGTCTAATCAACGGTAAGAACTGATCAGCGTTCAGTTAAGCCTATTTTTATAGCGCTCAATCTTGGTTTTTTAGTCCAAAGGGACTTGAGTCCCGAAGGACTATTGCTTTCGTTTTGGCATTTTGCGTCGGACTCCTATAAATGTCGGTTCACTTTTCAAACTGTTGCCATAAAATGTTAGAGTCCTGCATTATATTTGAAGAAATTAAATAATGAAAATCTGCGTAAATGTATGTATATTTCTCACATTGTTATAAAATAACGGTACATAGAGTCATCGAATTTTGAATAACGTAATCCTCCAACGAATATGAGCATGTGGAAGACCAAATTTGAAATTTGGAATTTGTTTTATGATCGATTTCCTATTTTTTAAAACTTTGACGAATTTTTGATTAACAAACTCAAGGATTTCAAAGCGAGCAATGGCAACGTTGTGCAGAAAAAAACATTTATATCTCCAGCGCGTGAGTCTCTGTATCGGAAATTCTAAAGATATGCTCGTTTT